GATAGAGTGGGAGGCCTGCTGGTGTCTCAGATGCTGGCTGAAGGAATTGGGGATGGAAAGGTCTGTCAAATCAGGGTTGTGCCAGCGTACCTGTGTCACTTCCGGTTTAAACCAAAAGTGACAGGTGATGCTATAGCTTTCCACAAAATGTTAGACCATCCCCGGCAACGTGCTAATGTCACTATCGGGTGTACACGGAATTATGTCCATGTGTTGATTGCATTACTTTGCTACTGAGGTCCCCATCTGGTAAGTGTCCCACCAGTCGCTAGCTGTGCCTGGCAACCCTACTCTCAGCTGATACCTTGTTAGCTGGGAGTCAGATTCTGATTGCTGCAAGTAGCCTGTTCCTGCAAATACACTCAAAAAAGTTGCAAATAGCCCATTAATCAATCAGCTGCCTGACCACCCCTGATGACTGGGAAGTTAGCCCAACTGGCGTGTGTTTAAGCATCTCTACAAGTAATCTTCTCAGGAAAGTCTCCATGGTACAGAGATTCACAGGAACACTCTGACCGATTTCCCACTAGCCGCTGCTCCGTCCTCACTCTTCCCCCCCCCCCCCGATTCTATGTGTCAATTTCCCACAAGTTGCTGCGTGGCCGCATTTTACCCCGCAGCTTCACCCAATTTCTTCCACGTCTTCTCGATCCTCAAAAAACAGGATCGAGAAGACACGGGAGGAACTGGGTGACGCTGTGGGGCAAAATGCAGCTGTGCAGCAACTGGTGGGAAATTGACACGTAGGATCGGGGGGGGAGGAAGAGTGAGGACGGAGCAGCGGCTAGTGGGAAATCAGTCTCTGTATAGAACATTTTTATTCTGCAGGGTATGTGGTTTCTCCCCATTTTACCTTTAACATACTGCCATAATGGAGGCTATGTGAAGAGAGAATCTGGTCCAAACACACGTAGCAGACTTTTAGATTCTAGTCCAACACTGTAACCACTGCACCAAATTCAAAGTCTCTTGTGGCCAAATTGCATTATATTGTGTTCTCTGGGACACCACCACCATTTTAGCACTCATTTTACAAATGCTGCAAGGGCCTGATCCTGCTGTGAACTTTGGTGCGTGAGGAAGGGTCTCCTGTCTCCCTCTGTACCATTTTCAAGAGTCCAAAGGCCCACTGTCCAAACTGGATTGAGCCCAACTGGGATTTGTAAAGTGAGAAAACTCCAGGGGTAAAATGGTAACAGTTAAAAAGGATCATTTCTGGGGAGGCCATATCATCTAGCCTGGCTGCTAGTTCTTGTGGCATGTAGGTCACAACAGACCTTCCTGTTGCCTTATGCAAATGAACCTCTGCCCCACAGAACATGCCCCACACCCTCCTGTGACTGCACATTACAGAGGAAGGTTAGTAATTGTGGGTTGTCTGTCTTTTGGTGAATCCTGTTCACCGTTACTCTGATAAAGTGCCAAGGAGACCCAGGATACCTTGGAAATTGCATTGCTGCTTTATAGCACAGATGCCCCTCAACAGATCTTCCCCAGAGGGGAGCCAACTCTTATAATCAATGATTAATCTTTAGACTGCCTAAATGCCTTGCAAGTACAACTCAAGTCTCACTTTCTTGATCATGGTATACATATATACATATACATATACAAGATGCAGGAATGGAAAAAAACAGCAATAAACCCAGGTGCGTTAATAATGACTAATGCCAAAGGAGATGACAGAAAATATTTCATTACATAATTAACATGTTTGCAACACGGAGACACAAGGAACACTTTGAACTATTAAGTACAGGCTATACAAAATGCCAGCATTTGTTTTTATAGTTTTTGTAATCTCACCTGCTAAGACCCTTATCTTCATAAAACCACTGACTTCCTGAGTAAATATTGTGCCAGAGATTTAAATCTTCAGGGGGATTTGATGCAAGTGGCTGCTGGATTTTACGTCTCAGGAGCTCATATCTAACACAAAAGACAAGCAGAATGCTGGGATTATCTCAACTAATGTTATTACACACAAAAATCAGGGTTCTTTTTAAAAGTCACACATTATTTTGTTTTTACAGCTGTAAAAGTTTTTTTTAATGTTTCAGGATTTGACTCTTTCTTTTTTTCTAAGTTACCTAATTAGTTTCAAAATGTATGATGAAATGTTTCAAAACACTTCTTTTATTAAGAAAAAAGAATCTGAGGACATTTAGTGGCTTATAACATTTTGCGAATTTGACAATAACTTGACTGAAGGTTTGTATGGGCTCACTTTTTTAGTGCAGCAAGGCTTAAGGAAAGAAAAGTTCAATGTAATCTTTTACAGTTATGTTCAGAGACAGAACTGCATCCATACTGCAAACATAAAACCAGTCTTAATGGATTTAATTATAATGGATCTTTCCAAATAGTTCTCAGAATCGTAGTTTTATGAAGGATCTCTAGCTGGGAACTATGAAACTGGTATATCTGTCATGTAGACACTCAGTTTATAGCAGTGCTGACAACATGCACATGACGTCTTGTGAGTTCATTATTTGGAATTCTGTGTGGTCGAAATTAACTCACAAAGCTATTTTATCTTGGAGGGGTGTGTGTATATGTGTTGGAATCCCTGTTCCAAGTGGCATGCCTAAAAATTCTCAACATGCCAATGTCTCAACACAACTGCAATCACCTAGAGTTCAGGGCTAGAGTTTTATAAATTGCATTGCTGATTTTCATACTGCCTAGTTCATCAGTCTTATTTGTTAATTATGGAATGTATCAAGAAGAACCCTGGCATTCACATCTTTTCAGACATATAAAACAACATCTGAAAGTTGGCTAAAGGGATCTGTTTTGGTGCAGCAGCTGGGTTGTGGCTGGCTTTCCAGTATCATCTTCCATAGAACCAATTTGAATTCTGTGTTATTTATAATCAACTTTATCCTATGCCACTCAGGTATGTTGAAGGAAAAGCCTTAATAGTTATTGTTGTTGTTCAGTCGCACAGTCAAGTCCGACTCTTTGTGACCCCATGGACCAGATCACGCCAGGCCTTCCTGTCTTCCGCCGTCCTCTGAAGTTGGCTCAATTTCATGTTTGTTGCATCTATGACACTGTCTAACCATCTCATCCCTTGCCGTGCCCGTCTTCTTTGACCTTCAATCTTTCCCAGCATCAGGGTCTTCTCCAGTGAGTGCTCCCTTCTCATTTGGTGGCCAAAGTATTTGAGCTTCAGTTTCATTATCTGGTCGTCCAGGGAACAGTCAGGGTTGATTTCTTTTAGGATCGACTGATTTGATCTTCTTGCAGTCCAAGGGAATCTCAAGTCTCTTCTCCAGCACCATAGTTCAAAAGAATCTGTTCTTCAGCGCTTGGCCTTCCTTATAGTCCAACTCTCGCAGCCATACATGATTACTGGGAATACCATTGCTTTGACCATGCGGACTTTTGTTGTCAGGGTGATGTCTCTACTTTTTATCATGCTGTTTAGGTTCGCCATCGCTTTCCTCCCAAGGAGCGGGCATCTTTTAATTTCATAGCTGCTGTCACAGTCTGCGGTGATCGGGGTTCCCAGGAACGTGAAGTCTGTCACTACTTCCATGACTTTCCTTCTATTTGCCAAGGAGTGATGGGGCCGGATACCATGATCTTAGTTTTTTGATGTTGAGCTTCAAGCCCACTTTTGCACTCTCTTCTTTTACCCTGAGCAAGAGGCTCCTTAGGTCCTCTTCACTTTCTGCCATTAGAGTGGTATCATCTGCATATCTGAGGTTGTTGATCTTTTCCCCAGCAATCTTAATTCACGCTTGTGATTCATCCAGGCCAGCATTTTGCATGATGTACTCTGCATATATATTAAATAAGCAAGGTGACAATATACATCCTTGTCGTACTCCTTTTCCTATGCTAAACCAATCAGTTGTTCCATATCCGGTTCTAACTGTCGCTTCTTGACCCTTATACAGGTTTCTCAAGAGACATGTGAGGTGGTCTGGTACTCCCATCTCTTTAAGGACCTGCCTTAATAGTACTTATATTGTTAAAGTAATGAGTTTTTTGTGTACTGAGCCGACCATGTTCATGATCCGGTTTCAGCTGGTTCGCTCGTGGTCATGCGAAGAGCCTGAGCTTCTCTCCACCAGAACAATAGACGGTTGGATCCTAGTCCCCTTCCAATCGGGAGACTAGGATCAATGTAAATAAATCAATGTAAATAAACCTATCACAGGTGTTGGGGTGTGTTTGGGTGTGGTTTTGGTTCAGGATATAAGTCAGCCTGCGAGCCGGCTTCTGTGTCTTGTTCCTGCACTATCTAATAAAACTATGAGCTGATTTCACTACATCATGCATCGGACCCAGTACTTTTCAGAGTTCATCCTCCAAAGCAGACATTTTAACCAGGGGGACAGGTCTCTGTTGTCTGGATTTCAGTTGCAATTTTGGGGGATCTCCAGGTCCCACCTGGAGGCTGGCAATCCTAGGCCTGGAGCAATCTCTGGGTGACTTTAGTTTACTTTAAAGATACTGCTCTTACAGCCAATTCAGCTCTGAACAGTGTCACACTGAGAAAGAAAAGAAGGACATTTATTTAATACATGTGTCTATATAATAGCGATTTTTAATTTTAATTGACTGAGGGGAAAACGTGACAACGTTCAATGTAATATTAAAATCTACCCCTGCTAAAAGAAACTTCAAATTATTCAGTTCACACCTAGAGTCCTCTGGGTGACTTGACACCATCCAACTTGTATGACTCAATTAGGCCAGGCTACTTGCTGTTGTTCAACAGCAGCCACCTTATGAAAGCCACGATGGTGTAGCAGTTAGACGTTTAGAGCAGGGTCTGGGAGACCCAGGTTTGAATCCCTATTTTGCTGTGGAAACTGACTGGGTGATTTTGGACCAGTCACATACTTTCAGCCTAATGTACCTCACAGGGCTGTTGTAAAGATTAAAAAGAAGGAAAGTAAATGCTGCTTTGGACTCCACTGTGGAGAAAGACTGCAGCTTTCTGAGGCAGAAGCGAGGGGGGGGAGAGAAAGCTGAAGACAGAGGGGCAGATAAAGGTAAGTTGGCTGTTGAGTGGGAAGGAGATAGTGTTTCCAACTCTAGGTTGGGAAATTCCTGGAGATCTGAGGAGTGGAACCTGGGGATGGGAGGATATGAGGAGAGAAGGAACATCAGGAGGGTATAGTGCCATAGACTCTACCCTCTAAAGCAGCCATTTCCTTTAGGGGAACTAGTGTTGCTAACCTCCAGGTGAAGGCTGGAGATTACCCAGAATTACAACTAGTAGCCAGGCTACAGAAATCAGTTCCCCTGGAAAAAAATGGCTGCTTTGGAGGATGGACTCTATGGCATTATACCCTGCTAAAGTCACTTCCATCTCCCAAACCTCACCCTCCCAAGGCCCCACCCCCAAATCTTCAGGAATTTTCCAAGCTGGAGCTGGCACTGAGCGGAACTGAGCTTTGTAGCTGGGAGATGCACTGTGATTCCTGGAGAGCCACCACTGCCACTACAGCTGTGTGTAGGGGAAGTAGGTGGGCGGCTGGGAGCACTACCACCACCTCCGCTGCTGTGGAGGGGAGGAAGCAGGCGGGAGTGTGGGAGATTGATTGGGGGTAGAAAGAGAAGAGTGACAGGATTGGGGGATGTAGAGAGAGAAAGAGTGATGGGTGGGGGACAGAAAGAGTGATGAGGTGGGGAGGCAGAAAAAGAAACAGAGAGTGATGGGGTGGGGGCAAAAAGAGAGGGAAAGTGACAGGTATGGAGGAGAGAAAGAAAAGAAGTGGGAGGAGGGTGAAAGACTGACAGACTGAGAGAAGTAGGGGGAGACAAGAGGAAGCAAACGTGGAGAATGGGGTAGCTGCTCCCGCAAGTTTCTTGCGGGTCCCCACTTGTATGATATATAATTCTATATGTTAACTGTTACGTTAAAGAATGAAAGGGAGGGAGAATGCACTAGAGAGATGTTATTACATTCTATCTGCATTAGTATACTTTATTAAACCCTATAGGTCTTTTAGACAGAATTTCTTCTAGTAAACGCTTAGTTAATGGAACAGACTTTTCTGAATCACTTAGTAGTTAATGAGATTCTTCACATTAGATACCATACTTATAATAACCTTAATAAATACCATAGTGTCATGATTCTCAAGCTGTGATATAAGTCTCAATAATAAGTGCAAAGTACTATGTTCCCAGTTCTCCTAGTTTTAAGTGTGTACCTGGACAAGGTCAGCAGGGGGAAAACCTTGTATGGATTGATGACTCACCAAAATTTCAGGGGCACCACACAGATAAGATTGCACTCCTCTTTTATATAACATGTAGATTACATTTCAAAACATTTCAAAATTTGTGGTTTTTTTTAAAAAATGTCAAAGCATACATACAGAGAAGGTTAAATTAGATTTCATTTTCCAGGGAAATCTATATATCCTTCAAGCCAAAAAATACGGACATATATTGGTTAACCTAAGATTTTAGATGTGGAATTTGTTTGTTGAGAGCGAATCTGGGTGGGGGGGGGGGTATAGGGACAAGCTGCCATCTTTTGACATGTAATGAAAAATTATGGGAATTACTTGCATGGTAATTCCATAAAATGAATGGAACTTATTCATATTTTATAACTCTATACTTGGCCCCATATGCACTCTGAGCACACAGGAAGCTGCTATTCATGGGGAATCTCCCATTAACGTTGTGGGCGTGATCGCAGAGCCCCGAATGCTCCTCTGAATCTGCTGCCTCATTTAAGTTGAAGGGGAAGTCCACACAGTCAGTGGCCTGCTGGTCATATTGAAGCTTTCATGCCAATTACAAATTGCTGGTCAGATAGTATCCCCGCTGAAATTGTGACCTTAACAAGGATCACTTTTGATCCATTAAACTGGAAGGCTCTGGCTAAAACTGGACTTTAGAAACCCAAGTATTCTGACAAACTTGACTGAGGACCAAAAGTCAGTGCGCTGGTTTCCCTTTTTAGAGATTTCATCCTCTCTAGCAACTGAGAAACTAAATTTCCAAGTCGATGTCATGAGAATATTCTGCTGCCTTCACATCACAAGGAATGCTTCCAATTTATTAGTTTAGCAACGTCAACAGAACTGTCTCTTTAAAAAAAAAAACACCTCCTGAATTATTTCGTTCTGGTTGGTCTGTCTGTAATTTGATGTGGAAGCCATGAAAAATATCAAAATCTTTTAAAGCACTGGATAGTGACCGAGTACAAATCACTTCCAGTGGCTGCTGCTGCTACCCTCTCCACTCCTCTCTCCATCACATTGTGCTGAGCAACTGCTTGAGTGGTTGTTCTGGTTGGAAGCAGCATGGCACACCATGAAGAAAATGAACTCTGCAGGAACTAGCTATGTTGTATTACTTCACTCACCAGTGGTAAGAGAGTCACACTCTAGATGTAGAGAAATGTAGGCTGTTTTCCCAAGGCTGCCTATCTTATTGTTCTACAATGCATACATAACAATTAGTCTTCAGGAAGCGAGAAAAAGGAAAGTATCTCCTAGTGTATAAATAAGACTACATTTCTTTTTCTAAATTACTAAGGAACAGTGAAATCACTGAAGTCCAGAGGAGAACTTCAGTGCAACAGAAGGGTAACTTCATTGAGGCCTGTAGTAGGCAGCTCTGAGACAGCCAGGGCAAGGAGAACTGAAGTCACTAATTCTACATGCATCTAATGCATCCACTAACCAATCAGATAACCAGGTCTGATAGTTCCATGCCTGTTCCTTCCTTTTCTTGCTCACGCCACTGTAACATTTTTAAAAATTTACTCAAAACAAAGGGTTTGGGGACTTAATAGAACGGTGCTGCCTTTTCAGAAAAGTATGCAATCTTATTTTCAAAAAATACTACCATGGAAAGGATGGTGTCAGATAGGACTTATTGCACAGCATAATTCTTACATCTATGAATCAGCACAGACCCACTTTCAAGGCAGACAATACTCCTCCAGTCATTTTCAAACTTCCTAATTTCCAGGAACATCTTCCCTAGTGATTTGGCTGCCACAAAACCCTTACATGTTACAGATTACTCCAAGGTCTATTTCTAGGCCTATAATGCCTCAGTTGAATTCTTGAATGGGCAGAAATCTTACACTAGTTTTACCCAATAATGTTTGCTTCTGGTAGTGGTGGGCAAACTACCTTTGAGGGATAATGCCACAGTTGTCAGCCTTCTAAACCTTAACTTTCTCTTATTACTGATTATCTGGTTCAGGAACCCTACAAACCTTTTTGAAGAAGCCAAGAGTTCCCTGGCCCAATGCTTAAGTATTCCTTTATACAAAAAGAAAGAGTGTCATATTCAGAAAGTTGCATATATTACTATGTGCCTTACCTTATGTGGGGTCCATTAGGCCTGGATGGTGCTTGCCAGGAAACAGCAATAAATGACTCACTAATTGGGGTCACAGACAATGGACTAATGCCTTGGGGAAGCATTGGATGGGTAGTTATGTGGGTAGGTAGACTCTCTGTACACCCTCCAATGTAGCCATCACCTTCAGAGCAAGCTACTATGGTGACTGAATAGTTTGTGAAAGGGATCAGATTGGTTATTATACAACTCATTGAAGATGACAGGTTGCCGGTAACGGTGATTCGAGGGTCTGGCATGCGGATCTCATAACTAAGTATTTCTCCATTCAGGACGAAAGGAGGCTTCCAAAATACCTGGAAAAAAATAAAAGATTTCCCCACTTTAAATACAAACAGTTGTGCAAGATAATAAAACTGACAGCTCTTACAGTACAATGTATTCTAAAATGCCCCCCGCCCCCAATATATGCTTTCTCTGAGGGCTACATTTCATGTAATGTGGCTGTGTAAGTAAGCATGTATTTAAAAGGTCATAGTAAATCACCTCCAGGTTACGTATTATGGAGACTTCTCACGACCACGCCACTTGTGCTCGTCCATATGGCCATCCAAATTGTGAAGTCTAAAATTACTTTCCATGACTGCGTTTTTTCAAAAAACCCAGTAACAGCCATTGATCTAGAATCTTTTATTGCAGAACATGATGACAAATGCTTCTGGAAATATTTACCAAGGTAATATGGCGATACACTAATGAAATGTTTCTAGAAAGATGCTTTGGTAAAGGGATAGGGTCTGTGGACTCTATTCCTATGTTCTGTACATTGCTATAAGTGTGCTCCTACTATGTACTTTCAGCATCACTTAATGTCTCCTGTTTAAATGCTTTGTTTGAGGTCTGTTTCAGCTTTGTTTCAAATTTTTCTGCTCAATTTCAGATTTATGCAATCCAAACCTTATTGCACTGTTTATTGGATGTCCCATGCTGCTATTTGGCTTACACTATGTAATCATACACACAAAACCTTTATTGGCATTGAAAGCACAAGACATCAGGGAAATACAGCAAAATACTAAGATGCATCAGTCACTTACACTTGGCTATTCAAGCCTTGTCTTCTGATTGCATAATATAAAATTTTTGCAACAGCCTCCATTATTTCGCAATTAGAATTAAACAGAAGAAAGTGAACAACTGAGTCATCAGAATGCCAGCTCTTACCCTCTAGAAGTGGAGTAATAAAATGAGATCGAATATCCCTATAAAGGGGGCAATGAAGGATGGTGTGTGTTGGGGATTCTATATCTTTTAGATAACAAGGACAAAGTCTGTGTACATATGGTATCTGGTGGTAGCTCCCTAAAAGCACCTCCAATGGCAGAACATTAAAGCGTGCAAGCATGTAGGCTCTGCGATGGTGTGGGACTGTTAAACTTAACAGATATTTCACAGTAGATCCCGTGTCAAAAGTCCCCAGCCTACTTGGGGAGCATGTGCTGGCTGTGCGTTCCCTAAATTCTTGCCTTTCGATGTTGAGAAATCTTTGTTTAATAATAGCATAGGCTTGTTTATCTGAAAAGTGGGTTAATAATCCAGAGATATTCCCATTTTAGAGAGTCACCCCTGGTCTACATATCTAAGCCATGGAGAGAGATCGGACTCAGTTAACATGTGAGTAATAATACTTTTAGTTTTAGCATGGAAATGAAGTTTAAGCCAAAACTGAATTGTTATCAGCCATGCTCTGGTCGATAGAAGCCTTTGATTGGTTTCTAAGCATAAAGCTGCATAAGGAACACACGAGGGAAATCCAAGAATTTTCTGCAAGAATATGGACTGAATTCTTTCTAAGTCCCCTTTTAAGGCTTCAATCCAGATTGGTACTCCATAGAATGATTGAGCAGCTAATTTGGCATTAAAAACTTTAAGGGCCGCCGGCACATACTGGTTACCCCTGGTATAATGGAAACGTGTAATCGCCGCAGCGATGTTGTTCGCTGCCTCAGTTGCTGTCTCTTTATGACTGACCCATCTGGTGTTATATTAAAAATGGATACCCAAATACTTAAAGCTTTTGACTTGTTCAATGAAATGGCCTCCAATATTCCATCTGGATGGCTTCCAATTCTTACTGAAGATCATAATTTTGGATTTTTCAACATTCAGAACTAGCCTATTCTTTTCACAGTCTACAAAGCTCTTCAAAAGATGTTTCAGCCCTATACGAGTTAGGGACAACACTATGTAATCTGCCTTGAGTATCAGTGAAAAAAGGAGACTATGAATGATGTGATTTTTATTTTTATGATATGATATCCTTACAGCTGCCACTTAGAGGCCACTCTTAAAACCACTGCATATAGACAGCTGCTCATGTGCAAAGGTTCATCATTTAGGGTCAATATTCCTTATTACAATACAAATGTCTGAAAAATGAAAGTTTTTGCTGGCATGGGGGAAAAAACTGTTCCAGCCAAGTGGTGAGCTACTGCATGTGAATGATTTCATGTGGATAAGAGCCCTTTGAGTGAAGTGATGTAAAATGGACTTTATAGAATAGGCATAATGCATTAATCAGCCTACTGAGGTACAGTGGTTCAGTCTAGGACTGGGGACGACTGGGATGAAATCCCCGCTCAGTCTTTAAACTTGCTATATAATTTTGAGCTAGTAGACACTGTAAGTCTAACATCTCACAAGGTTCCTGAGAAAATAAAATGAAAGAAGGATAACCTTTTATGCCACTTTGACCTCCTTAGAAGGACAGGATATAAACAGGGTATATAGATTGTCATCTGGAATCTGTTCTTTATGACTTGACAGGCCAAACACTCAGATGGACACAATAATATAGTTTTATTTGTCCATATCTGATCAAAAGGCAAAAACCCCCCCCAAAACTGCTTCTGAGTTCAAACTACAACAACTCTCTTAATATAACTCAAGTAGTGTTCTTGCCTTTTCTATAAAACAAATAAAATTATTCCAGAACTAATTATAAGAGATGTAAGTAACCCATCATTTACTCTTCAATCCATTCTCGACACTGAACATTCTTAGAACAGAAATGTCACGGTCCAACAAAAGATACGAGGCCACCAGGGAGCTTCCTCTGGATTCTCACTGAGGAGTAAACAACATGAGATCTTAGGGAATGGTGAAATTCTTATGCCTTAATATTTCTAGGGCATTCAGAAGTGGTTTTTTCTTTAAGAATGTTGAAGGTTTTTGATAAAAAGAACTTGGAACACCATTAAACAAACCAACGTTAACACCAAAGTCTTGAATCCAAGGAACACAAACAAGCTTAGCAATAAAGCTGTGGAAATGATTTTAGTCCGGCAAATATCAGAAAGTCCTGTTCAGGCTTCTGGCACGCATCGCACACAATAACATAAAGCAAGCAGCATAAACACCAAAGGAAAACAAATCTAAAGCTAGGGGGAGGCAGAAGTGAGTCTATCCTAGTTATTGCATGATCTTCATCCTCCCTTATGCAACAGTGTAAAATCATCCAGCCAAGGAAATGTTATGTTGTAATTTACAACATTAAAAATATTTCTTGCCACAACACCCGCCATGTATTACATGCACAGAGCTGGCGCAGAACCTCATACAGGTGGGATGTTGGCAGCTGACCACTTTTCTTGACAATCAGGTAAGCGTAAAAGTGGGAGGCAAGCAAGGTAGGCTGAAGAAAAATTGTAATGCTTTTATGTTGACACTCGGGCAGCATGACAGACTTTCAAAGCATCTACATAAATTAGAAGAGTTCACAGCAGTGTGCGTGGTAGGAACTTGCACAGTCATGAAGTTACTAGAAAAGGATGCTAATAAGATCATAAAGGAACAGACGTGTGCTGGCTGGTCAAGCAACCCATCTCATCTTTACTCTAGAAGTATAGCTATTATACTAGTCAACTGGTATTACAGATGGGCAGATATCAACTAGCAAACTATATAACCTGTCTTGCCCTGCATTATTACACGCACAATAAAAACCCTTCTGGATCAGGCCAGTCCATCTAGCCCAGCATTCCAACGGCAACTTCAGTCCTTCTGAGAATAGGTCAACAGATACCAGAAACAGGGCTTTCTCTGTGGCATAGTCTCCAACATTTCATAAATGGACATGGGGACAGCAGAGGTAGCCTTATGTATTCTGGGGACCTTGATTCCCATCAGCCTACTCGGAACAAGAATAAAGTGTCCACTTTTCACCATGTATGTCCCTTCAAAAAATGCACCACAGTTTGTGTTTTGACTTTTCACTTTTTTGCAATATTTACCAAAACAATACAGAAATGGCCTGAATGGCCCATGCTAGCCCAATCTTGTCAGTTCTCAGAGTCTAAGCATGGCCAGCTCTGGCTAGGATTTGGATGGGAGACCTCCAAGCAATACCAGGGCAGAGGCAGGCAACAGCAAACCACCTCTGAACATCTCTTGCCTTGGAAACCCTCTGGGGGTCGCCATAAGTCAGTCGTACATTGATGGCACTTTCCACCACCATTATTATAAAGAAAGAACATATTATAATAGGAATGTAATGACTCTAGATTCACTTGACATCTCAGCACTAGGCTAAAAAAACAGAACTATAACTGAGAAAAAATGAAGTTAGTCAGGTAGAAGTGTGTTTACCTGCCTTATTCTTGTTTTGACTGAAGAAAGTACTAAATTTTGTAACAATTTCATGTAGTTTCTTCTCTGACTCCCCCACCCCCTTTGCCCCACTTGGATAATTTTATTTCATTTCTAGCTAACTTTGCACAGGCTATAGCATAATGTTATCAAAATTGATGTGTGTGGATTATTTTTGAAAAAAAATATCTGTGGCCAATGAATACTGCTAGCTAGATTGAACACATGTGGGCATTATTAACAAAATTACTGCCTACAGGTACAAGTGGAATAAATACCTCATTTGCCAAAGGCAGGTAGACATCTACAACTACTTTATCTGCTGGGAACTTTGCTATTAATGCAAACTGGAATAAATGAAAACCCTATCACCATTTTTCATTCTATATGCTGGGTGATGTACTTGATAGATTCTTCAGTAGGTCATGTAGCATATCACCCCCAAAAGTGACTGCCATCGCCAGCATAAGAACTTAAACATAAGAACTTAAAAGAAGCCAATGCTGGATCAGGCCAATACCCCATCCAGTCCAACACTCGATCACACAGTGGCCAAAAATACCAGGTGCCATCAGGAGGTCCACCGGTGGGGCCAGGAGACTAGAACCCCTTCCACAGTTGCCCCCCCCCCCCCAAGCACCAAGAATACAGAGCATCACTTGCCCCAGACCAAAAGTTCCTATCTATACCTTATGGCTAATAACCACTG